ATCTATTGAGTTGGCCATGTGATTTTTGTCTTTAAGATCATTTATATGATTTATTGTGTTTATTGACCTACACATATTGAACCATCCCTGCGTCTCTGGAATAAAGCCAACTTGATCATGATGAATGATCTTTTTGATGTGTGTCTGTATGAAGTTTGCAAATATTTTGTTAAGAATCTTTGCGTCTATGCTCATTAGGGATATGGGCCTATAGTTTTTTTTTATTGTTGTGTCTTTATCTGGTTTGAGTATTAGAGTGATATTGACGTCATAGAAAAGATTTGGGAGTTCTCCCTGTGTTTCTACCTTTTTGAATAATTTAAGAAGTATTGGTTGTAGATCTTCTCTGAATGTCTAGTAGAATTCTGCGCTGACTCCATCTGGGCCTGGGCCTTTTTGAGTTGGGAGGTTTTACATTGCTGTTTCAATTTCCTTGTTTGTTTTGTGCTGTTTAGGCTGTTGATCTCTTCTTGATTTAACTTTGGTGGTTTCCATGAGTTCATCCATTTCTTTTAGATTTTCAAATTTAGTAGAGTACAGGTTTTTAAAGTATTCCCTTATAATGTTTTGGATTTTTCTGGTGTCTGTTGTGATAGTTCCCCTTTCATCTCTGATTTTGTTAATTTGGATTTGTTTGTTCTTTCTTTTGGTTAACTGGGCTAAGGGTCTGTCTACCTTTCAAAGAGTCAGTTCTTAGATTCGTTGATTCTTTGTATTGTTTTCTTTGCTTCTATTTCATTAATTTCTGCTCTGATTTTTGTTATTTCTTCTTGTCTGCTGGGCTTGGGTTTTGTTTGTTCTTGCCTTTCCAGTGCCTTGAGTTGTACCATTAAGTCATTTATTTGTGTTCTTTCTGATTTTTAAAAAAATATTTTATTCATTATTTTTATTTTATGTGTATGGTGTATTGTCTGCATGTAGGTAAGTGCACCCGTGTCGTGCAATGCCCACAGAGGTCAGAAGAGGCTGTCGGATCCCCTGGGACTGGAGTTACAGACAGTTGTTAGCTGCCATGTGGCTGCTGGGATTTGAACCCGGGTCTTCTACAAGAACAACCAGTGTTCTTAACCACTGAGCCATCTCTCCAGCCCCTCTTTCTGATTTTTTAATGCAGGTACTTAGAGCTATAAACTTCCTTCTTAGGACTGCTTTTAAAGTATCCCCAGAGGTTTTGTTGTGTTGTATCGTCCTTTTCGTTTAGTTCCAGGAATACTTTTATTTCTTATTTTTTCTTTGGCCCACTCGTCATTCAGGTGTGTGTTGTTTAATCTCCATGAGGCTGTGTACTTACTAGGTTTCTTCCAGTGTTGATTTTAAACTTTATTGCATTGTGGTCTGATAGAATTCATGGAATTATTTCAGGTTTTTTTGAGGTTTATTTTGTGCCCCAGTATATGGTTAATTTTAGAGAAACTTCCATGGGCCGCTGAGTAGAATGTATAGTCTTTGGTGCTTGGGTGGAATATTCTGTAGATGTCTGTTAGGTCCAACTGATGTAGATATAATTTAATTCAGATTTTCTCTGTTTATTCTTTGTCCAGTTGACCTGTCTATGGGAGATAGTGGGGTACTGAAGTCCCCTACTATTACTGAGTTGGCATTAATCTGTATCTTGAAGTCTTGTAGTGTTGTTTTTACGAAATTGGGTGCATCAGAATTTGGTGCATATATGTTCATGATTGTAATGTTTTCTTGGTCAGTTGTTCCCTTGATTGGAATGAAGTGACCCTCCTTATCTCTTCTGATTTATTTTATTTGAAGTCTATTTTTATTCTATTTGAAGTCTATTTGTAATGCCTGCTCACGTCTTGGTGCCATTTGCTTGGAATATTTTTTCCATCCTTTCACCTTAAGGTAGTAGTACCTGTCCTTGAAGGTGAGATGTTTCTTGTAGATAACAAAAACATGAATTTTGTTTTGTTTTGTTTTTTGTCTTTATTGAGACAGTGTCTCCTTGTAGCCCCAGCTGTCCTGGAACTCACTATGTAGACCAGGTTGGCCTTGAACTCACAGAGATCTGCCTGCCTCTGCCTCCTGAGTGCTGGGATTAAAGGTGTGTACCACCACGCCTGGCCCAAATTTTGTTTCTTAATCCATTCAACTAGTCTGTGTCTTTTGACTTGGGGAGTTGAGGCCACTGATATTTAAAGTTTTTATTGA